ATTTTTTTATTTAAGTGAGTCGAATCTGATTTCGTATTGTTTTTCAATGGACTAAACTATATAATGAATTGAAAACTATTGTCCATTTCAGAGATAAGTGACCGTAGGCATTTTTTGAATAACTTTTGATAGGAACGAGATGGAGACCTGTGGTTTTCACCGTTGGAAAGAACAGATAAAGACACATTGAACCATATATAGAAAGACTGTTCTAGCTACCTTCCTAACGATTTTAGTCAAACGTTTTCAAAGAATTGCTTTTTTTCTCCTACGTTAAAAAAGCGGTTTTTCTATGAAAATGCTGCAAAAACTTCCATTTTCTGATTATTTTTTCGAAAAAAATGAGCTGCTAAATTGAACTCTGATGGTTTGGATATCTCACTGATAGTAGCTAGAAATAGAATCTTGATATAGTTTTATAGCTCTTCGCTTGCCGGTTCTAGCGCACTCCTAAAAATCAATAAATTAATGTCGTGACCATGAGAGGCACGCTGTTTTTCTTGAAGTTTTATGTAACACCATTAGAAAAGTAGTTAGAAAAGTCTTTCTATAAATGGTTCGATGCGTCTTCATCTGCTCTTTCCAACAATGAAAACCGCAGGTCTGTATCTCGTTCCTATCAAAAATTATTCAATAAATGCCCACGGCCACTTATCTCTGAAATGGACAATAGTTGCATTAAGTACCGTATGTAAAGCGGATAGAGTCTACGTTTATGTTCATTCGAAAGAGAACGATGACGATGACAGAAGGAAAAGAAAAAAAAGGATCGTTCAGAGAAAAAGATAGAGAAGTCTAAATATCTTTGCTCTTTCTGCTATAAAAGATATTTTTGAAAATTTTTGCTGAGGACTTGGGAGTACCTCTTCGGGAAAATCAGTTAGCCTTGATCAGTTTTTTCTGCTCTTTCGAATGATGTAATTTTTATTGAGTCGACACGAAATTAAAAATTTCAAACCAGTTGATATGGTTGCTCTTGTGAAAAACCATTTTTTACGCATCCTTTTTCTAGAGATTTATTATGTTTGATATAAAAAAAAATGGCAGAACCCTTATCATTTAAAAGCAATAAATCCCATTTTTGACGCGCTTTCATTTGGTATAAAATTTGTTATTAGTGCTGTTTAAAATCATAGCGTTACCCCCTCTGGAAAAACATTTTTACACACCATGTACATATATTCACAAGTACACCTATTCTTCTATTTCTCTTTAGTTGAGGGTGGGTGTGGGTGTGGGTGTGGGTGAGGGTGTGGGTGTGGGTGTGGATGTGGGTGTGGGATGTGAGTATAGGCGGTTGAAGAGAAGCTGTACACCCACACCCACACGCACACCTCACACCCACATCCAACACCCCACACTCATGCCCATACCCACACCTACACCCATACTCACGCCCATACCCACACCCACACCCCACCCACAGTCGCATCCACACCCGCATTGCGTTCTTTACCTTTCTCTTATTCTATTTGTTTGAAATTCATCGAATTTAAGCTTAAAGAACTTGATTTTTTTCTTAGATTGAGTGATGTACTTATTGCAATTATCTTTTAGTTGAGAATATTCTGTTAACATAGTTGAACATGTTTGACCTTGTGAGAAAACATCGTTGAAAAATGTCCAATTCTCTAAAATTGTCTCGAGTGATCAATATATTTGAATGTTTTATAGAGTTTTCTCATTTTCTATAGATGATAAATTTCATCGAAACAAAGTAGAAGGTCATAACTAAGAATTAAGTGAAATAAGGAAACAAAAATTGAGAGACAGAAGCTTTATTTTTCATGAGATGAAAATCTGAAATTGAGAAGGCGTTATTATCATTAGCTATCTTTATTTATAAGTGAGATACAAATAAATTCACAATCAATTGATAAATGCAAAGAAAAATGAAATTTTATAAATATTGTTATCGTTTTCAAATTATAAAATATCTATGTACTATCATCTGACACCAAGAATAACGTTATTAAATGCTTTGGTTTAATCATAGGTACTGTTCCATTGTACAATAACATGATGACCATTGAAGATTTATATTTTCATCCACGAGCATCAACAAATCATACTTTAAGTCTATGATAATCATATAGGAATGGGGTTTTTATACAAATTTAATCTCAAAATTATGAACAAGGATATGAATAACTGGACATCAACGATACGATTTGCAAATCTAATATGAGCATCAACCAGGGGTCGTAGCGGCCTAGTATGCAAAGTCAGGAATTAGGACAGGAATTCTCAAGAAAAAAATTAGGATTTGACCTAATAAATCAGGATTCTCAAAACATAGGCACTATTCATCGAAGGTACAGCAGTTACCGAGATTTATTTTTTTGGGATTTTTTAATAAATCCATATACGTTTTTAAATAAATCCCGCACTATCTCGAGGATCAAAGCGAAGACGTAAGTGAGGATGAGGGCGAGGGGGAGCAGTTGAGTGAGGTGTACGAAAATCTTAATACAGGTAATAAATCCCAATAAATCCGCATTAAATAAATAAATCAATCTCGGTAGCCCCTCTCAGTGTTTCGAAAACATAACAATCACGTAACATGGCTAGCTTTACTCTTAGTGAAATAATTAAACAAAGCGCGAAAGGACAAAACAAAAACGCTGAAACATTGTGATGATTTCCAACTCGTCGATAGGCAATCGTAAAATCAACATATATTTCGTCCTAGACGGTCGAGTGACAGCAGAAATCGTCCATTCCAAGCGGACATTGTTGGGACATCGTCATGATATCCCAACGATGTCCTCTGGACTAGACTGGAATAACCCTAAGTTGACTCGCTTGGCTGGGCCTTTAGAACTGAGTTGTGATCACTTTACTGGATTTTGGACCTGTGGCACCAGGTTATTTGCCACAGCAAATATGCCAATTTCGACCTGAAATTTTGTCTATAAATAAATCTAATGGCCACTAAGATACCTTAAAAGTTTCAGACAAAACGAATGCATCCTTCTTAAGATGTTGAATACCCAAATGTTCCGATTTTTGTGTATTTTTCCTACATAGACGTTTTTGTAAACTAAATATCTCAATGATGCATTCGTTTTGTCTGAACCTTTTCAGGTATCTTAGGGGGCCATTAGATTTATTTATAGACAAAATTCCAGATCGAAATCGGCATATTTTCTGTTGCAGATAACCTGGTGTCATAAGTCCACAAATCTATAATTAATTAATCCCGAATGTTCAGACAAGCGAGCCATCTTAAGGTTATTCTAGTCTAAAGGCCCCAACATATAGCCAAAATATGAAGTCCAAAGCAACGGGAGACCTTGAGAAGTTCCCTTGTAAGATTCATTGACAGCAATCCAACGAGAAGAGTTGATGATTCATCGGACTCTTGACTTCCAGATATACTAACTAACTTGTGTCTGTTTATTCTTTTTTTTCTTACTGAATAATGACAGAAGATATTGTAGGAATTTTGTAATAAAAGGATGAATTTTTTCATTTATTTACCAACATTTTTCAGTTCATAAAAAACTTTATCTAGTCTTCAAACACGATGAATAATGCGATCATTGAAAAAAAAAAACAGTATCTTCATCAGTTCAAGACAGAATTTCTGAAATGCCTCCACTGAGACTAAACCAGAATTTTCTGCAGAAAGTTCTTAGTTTCGAAAAGCACCAAAAATCAGGATGAATCAGGACAGCTACGAGGCCTGATATCAACCAAAATGGTCTCCATATCCATTCACAATAGTCACAGATATGGAATGAGAGTTTTCTAAATTGAGCAATCGATTAGTGAGTAGTATGTAGATATTTCGCACATAAAACATTGTTACTGTGTAATCATCAATGTTAAATGAACATATATAATAAAGAGAGATCGATTTCACAAAACAAATCTTTCGTTTGAGCACAACTGAAATTCTCTCTCGGTTTGAATAATTAAAACTTTATTCATCATCTTTCAAGGTTAAATCGAGATAGACCTTCAAAATAGCAGATTTTATTGGAAATACTTGACAAGAAACTATCTCAACATATTCATTCTAGACACTTTTATCTTACTAATATTTTTCTTTATTTTTGACCAAATTAAAACGAATAACAATTTATTAAAAATTCATCTAAAACAAACAAATTATTCTTCAAATCAAAAAGTATAACAAAGAAGATCTACAAATATTACACAACTTTATACTACGGCTCAACTTGTACAACAAAAAAATCCGTTAAATATAAATATTTTTTTCATTGAATTATATTTGATATAGATAAAAGTTGCTTTCTCAGTTGTTCATCAATTGGATGAGGACGTTGATTTATTCGATCAACAAAAACACTAGTAAAACCACCAACAGCTGAAGCTTTTAAAGATTTGTTATTTTCAAATATTCCAACTTGATAATCAACAGATGATTTTCCTATTCGTTTAACAAATAAACCAGCTGAAATTATTGCTGGATATGATACTGGACTATAATATTCACAATGCGAATAAACAACATAATCAAGTAATGGAGATTTTGAATGATCAAATGAGCATTGTTCAATTAAAAATTTATCAATAGTTGAATCAATCCATTCACCATAAACAACATAATTAACATGACCATAACAATCATTGTCACGCAATCTAATTTTTATTATTATTTAAAGAATTTTAATCAAAAGAATTTACCGTGTTTGAAAATCGACAAAATATTTGTAAAATGATCGATCACGATATGAAGATAATGATGAAAGGTTTTTCGAGTGTTTTAATAATTTATTATAAGGACGAAGTATTCGACAAAGATACATAAAAATACCAATTCAGATGACTTTTCAAAGTGAAAATCTTTTTGTAACCTTTGCTTATGCAACCAAAATGGATTTTTACACTTTTTTTTCATCAGCCAAACATATTAAACTCTACGAAAACGAAATTTTCTCCAATCTAAAACAAAAAATAACGTTCGTATTATTTTCTTCAATGAGCACAAGATAACTTTTTCTGTTCGGTCTTGTCCCGCCAGCAACCTTGCGAGTGTTGAGTGGTACGAAGAAGGAACAATAAGTAACCATCCTGCCTTGTCGCACAGGACAAGGTAACAGATCAGGACGGTCACACATTCTGTCTTGTTTTCATCTATAATTTATAGATAATTCACTATTTAATATTACATACAATCTTTAAAGTATTTAACTCAATCTGGATTTTATTGAGAGAATCTACTACAAACATTCTCTTTTCCTATAGAATGTGTAAAAGATAATGTTCATCCTCAAGAGTAGATGTTCTCTAGATTTTCGTTATACCTGTCATTGCAAACAATGGTTGAGATAAAATACACTTTTACTTTTACGTGAATTTGTTTATCCAATCAGCTGTTTCAATAAAAATCTTTCTTATTGTTTTCAATTTATTTTTTTTTTATTTTAATTTATTGTTTGATAAATTTTTTTTTATTCAAAGAAAAACAATCAAATATGACAAATTCTAGATGTCGCCTCCTTATATACAAACACATTAGATGGCTATACTGAATACATCGGAAAGAAACGACGATGAAAGTATTTTTCTTTTTTCATTCTCTGATTTTCTTCATAGTTTCTAGAAACCTTCACAACATCATGACTGAGCATACCGTTTTATTTGAGACATGCCTTCGGAAGCAAGAGATCAACCAAAAAAAAAGATACAATCACGATCCAGAAATTAGCCATTCAAGGAAATTCAACGAATTCAAGAAAATCAAGCAATTCGAGAAATTCTAGCAGTTCAAGGAATTCAACAAATACACATAACAAAGGGACTTATAAGTCTAAACTACGACGAAACTAAAGAAAATCTAGGAATTCAAGAAAATTTTAGAAATTTTGTTGAATTGCTTGATTTTCTTGAATTCCACTAAAGTCTTAAACACACGGATGCCTTCATCCTCACTATCGATATTACCTTGGAATTCAAGAAATTCTAGAAATTTCAGGATATGTTGGGGCTGTAGCGGGAAGGCTATGGTAAAATTTTCAGCTCTATCGCATGTAGTTTGAAAGAGATATCCACCAAACAAGGGTCAAAAAATACCTCACCTCAGTGTTCCGAATGAGAATTCGATATAAAGTGCGATATCGTACTCTTTTTCTGGAGGTAAAGTGAGATGTTGCACTCTGTTTCAAGAGCCAAAGTGCAGCAAAGTGCAAATGTATAAATACGTCTAGAAAAAAGAAATAATAGTTTATGTTTCATACTCTAGACTTCTATGTGCATGTATACATATAAATAATTATCAAAAAAAAATATGTAGATCATCATTTAGTGACAAAATTTACAGATTCGAAGAGAAAAATACAAATAGAAATCATCATTAAATCACAAGATTAACACAAACTAAATCAGCGATGAGGACTATCTATATATCTAGATATTCATTCTAGTTCATTAAAAATAAATATGATTTCGAAGTAGAGCTGTTGCGAGGTGTTAAAGATTGGGGTGGACAAATTTTTCCGAAAATTTTTCAAAAACGTATATAAATTATCGAAATTTTGAAAAAGAAATTGACACATTCATTGAAAATTTTTGGAGATCTTTGAAAATATTTGAAGATTTTAGAATTTTTTTTACCTTTTTCAAAGATTTTTGAAGAGTTTTAGAAACTTTTGAAGAATATTTGAAGATTGTTAACGATTTTTGAAAATTTTCGAAGATTCTTCTAAAGTTTTTGGAAAGCCTTGAGCCAAAAAAAAAAATTCTAAAGATTAGGATGTGACCCCTCGCTCGCGACAGCTCTGTTTCGAAGTCATTTGGTGGTTACTGTTATTTGAATTTTCTTTTGATTGATCGAATAATGATCTGATTGATTGAATGAAAAGCTTTTCTAGAAATGTTGTTTGAGTGTCTAGATGACTTTTTTTTTCCTTATCTGAGATAAGAATAAGAAAAGACTATTTGCTTGAATCAAAGAACACAATAAATAAGAAAATTCATTGTAAAGATGAAAAAACCAATATAAATTTAAAAAAACGAAGTGAAAAATGTTATAATAGAGTGCAGCATATGCCTTCTATTTTTTCGAGTGGAGTGCAAAATAGCGTGCAAATAAAAATAAGTGCGTGGCTCACTCACTTTGATTTTGCTTGGTGCACTCATCATTCGGAACACTGCCTCACCTCATCTCTAAAAATTCTCTGTGGATCTTCAATTTGTACATATAAATTTTTTTCTTTGAAAGCTTGTCTCCAGGGCTGCGTGTGTGTGGGTTCGAATGTAGATACTGGTTTGGGTGAAGAGAAGACTAACACTCACACCAATACCCTCACCCACACTCACAGCCACATGCACACCCAACCTCGATGACCCATACTGAAACTGGCACCGTTCGATAAAGAATCAAACTGTGCACTTAACACAACTTACTAGAGATCTAACACAGGTTCAAAAGCGAATGTCCACAAAGAATACTGGAATCCGCTGCTAACTTTTCTTATTTAATCTTACATAAGTGAAAAACTGATACAACTATAAGAATAGAAGACAGTATAATAATGAAAAATTTTGATTCTTTCAGTTTTTTAGATCTAAACGAGAGCGGATAACATATTGGTATTAGAAATATTCAGCCAGGTCTCTGCCGAAAATAATCATTCTAAGCTCATTATCAGGAAGAACACATGAATACTTTCCCTCATTAGTATTAGGTTATGTCATACATCGCCATAAGATATTGCTGAAACGTTGCTGACTATTTGAGATTCATCAAGTCGAAATTGTAAACAATTCTTATGATAGATCATTCGACATTTGTGATAAGCATAACCATTGCTGGTGCAAACTGGCAATCTAAAGAGAAAAATTCAAGCATTTTTCCAGCACATTGAATTAACAACGAGATGGCACACATAGGCTGTATGAATTGATAGTAGTGTTTATGTGATTTCTTCATTATATTCTTGTAATTCAAAAATTTTGAGTAGCTACTTTTCACAAGAAAATACTTTCAAACGATGCCTCTCTCGTATACATGGAATAATAAGTAGGCGTGGAAAGAGGCAATATTCTTCTATTGTTTTCTCTATGGTTTCCATTATATATTTATTAATTTGTTGATTCTCGAAACAAAATGAATAGGAATTGAGTACATATCTATAGATAGATAAATGAGCATTTACATACCAATACCAGAATTGAAAAAAAAATAATTCATCACTGTATACTTTCAATTATTGACATAATTACTTATTCACATCACACAATAACGATGAGATGACTATTTTTGCTTCTCTGTCTTGTTCATCTCGCCGTTTGTCGACGTATGAAACGATATACTTCGTGGACAAAGATTGGTTTTTTTTTGAATTAAGTTTCAAACACGATGAATTTTTGGTTTACAATGAAGATAAGACGCTTATATATCAAATCGAATCTCATTATAGTCGCAGGCAAGCTCAAACATCATAGAAAGGGCAGAGTTCGCGAAGCTACATTCGAAGTGTTCGACAATCAAACACAATAGTGGAAGAAGGAAAAGTTAAATTATAGGCTGATCGATTGGTTCAGAAGTAAAATCTATATTGAATGGAATGGACAGCCGTTAAAATATATTGGCGCTCCGTCCGGATCGCCTGGAACCTTCGTGAAAGCTCCTAATACTATCTTGACTGAATTTCAAAACCAACGTTAGTTTAATAAAAATTATGCGTCTTATGAAGTAGATATATACTCCAATGAGATTCCGGATCCCGTTTATCTACTTTATATCAGAACCTTTGCAGAAATCTATCATTCTACCGCACAAGGGAAATAAAACTGAAAAGAGCATTGTCAACTTGATGTGTTTTGTTATCATATAATATATTTTCATGAGAAATAAAGAAACTTTTCATGTTATCTGTTGTGCGTGATCAATATTCAGAAACAATCGTTTTTTTTTACAGCTTATGTCTTGATCTGTCACGTTTCTTCCTTCACTGCGCTATTAATAAAAATGATCTTTTACCGAATGTGAAAAGTTCTGCATTTATATACAAAATTTGTTTGGCTTCCATTTGTGGAAGAAAAAAAGATTTTCATCTTTCTTGCTGAACTTTTGCAGAATTTCTTACTAAAGCCTTCGAGAATTTTATATTAATCTTTTGAAACCATAGAAAGTTTGGCGATAATATTCCGCAACCATTCAAACTTGTAATCAATTTTTTAAACCCACTGAAAGTTTCGTAGATGACAGTAGGTCATAATGAGTGATTATTTTTAGCATAAGCTTTTTCTTGCTTTGTGAAATATTTCATTCAAAACGGAATACATGACTGAGTAGAACAAAACAATCTCTACATTTTTGTGTAGAAAAAGTTAGCCCATTGATGAGTCTTTGTTTTGAGAACAGACAGAATCTGATTTGATCATTTTTCTTATATATCAAAATGTAGAGACTACTTTGCTCTACTCTATCATCTATTTAGAATTAATAGAAAACTCTTCGAGACTTCGAAGCATATCTACAAAACTTCAAATAGTTTTAAGAGAAAAATTCGAAACCTGTTGAAGTTTAAGATGCAAAAATATTGAATAAGAAATTCGGTAAAAATTCAGCATGAAAAATGAAAATCTCTTTTTCCTCGTATGGAAGTAAAATAAATTTTATAGATAAATATAGAACTTGTCAGATTTGATAAAAAATCATTTTTGTTTATAGTGCAGTGAAAGAAGAAACGTGACAGATCAAGTTATAAGCACTAACAAAAACGATTGTTTCTGAATAGTGATCATGCATAACATAAGATGAAAAGATTCTTTATTTCTCATGAAAATACGTTTTATGATAACAAAGCACATCAAATTGACAATGTTCTTTTCAGTTTTATTTGCCTCTTTGTTTAAGTGAGTAGATTTCATCGAAGTTGGCAACATAAAGTAGATGAATAGCATCTAATATATCGTCGACGTATATGTCCATGATACACTTGTTAGGCCATAAATCAAACACATAATGTCACTCAAACTCAGCTAGAATGGTACCACAGTCGTCTAGAAAAGTTCCATTCAACCCGTTCGCACTAATCTCGCAATCTATTTGTAGTCCATCTTATTCAATGTCGATACTATCTCAGACCCAGCCAATAAAATTTTGAACAAGTTCACCTGTCTTCCACTCTTGTGTTTGATTGTCGAACACTTCGAAGATGACATAACACCTTTTGCCTTTCTGTTTGATGTTGAGCTTGCCTACGACTTGCTTTGATGGATAGGCAATAAGGTGAACGCCTTCAGGTTGAAAAACTATATGAGATTCGATACGATATATAAGAGCATTTGTTTGTTGATTGTAGATCGAAATTTGACCGGATTCCATTCCAATAGATATTTTTGTTTTTCATCAAATATGTACATTTTGTACGTTGACAAATGGCAAGATAAACGAGACAGAAAACTAACAGTAGTTGTCTCATCATTATTGCGTGCTGTGAATAAATAATCGCATCAATAATTGAAAAGCATATTTCTTAGTCATTTTGCTTCGAGTATCAACAAATTAATAAATGTATAATGGAAAGCATACAGAAGAGAAAAGAATATTGTCACAATAACTAGATATTTCGATGTTGCTGAAACAATCTTATCAACTGGCAAGGGTGAGGATGAGAATGGCTGATATGAATGAAAATAAAGCGAATCAAAAATCAGTAATGAATTTGAAAAAAACAAAAAAAGGAATAATTAAATAATTTTTTAAAATTTCTTAATGAAATTGTAATTTAGAGCGAATTAAAGTTCTAAATTGCTACTAATTTGTCTTCTTCACCATCACCAATAAATCCACCATGATTCAAGAACTTTCATTGTATCTTGGAAAAGAGTGAACTCGAAAATTAAATCTAAAATTTTGATGACGACAAGTAGAAATCTGTTTGCTCGGAATTCAAGTTCATTTATCTGAACCGTCCAAACGCAAAAATCAATAGCAGCAAACCACAATACTGTACTTTCAGTAGTCAAGAACTTTAAATATCCGTTAAGAATTGATCAGTTTTAAAAGTGCAACCTGAATCTGATCAGTAACCGGCAAACCAGGCGGCCTAGTTTACCGTTTACCGGCGCAGTTCCAAGTCTATCCGACGTATATTTCTACCAGCAAGGGTGTCAACTGTGAGTTGGATAAGAATAAAGATGAGACAGATGCCCACATCTCATACCCTAGCTGAAGATCCCCACTATAGAGGTATAAACACTAAGAACTACCAATAATCATATCCGAGAGGAAGACAAAGTTCGATACCAGACGAAACCAGTTTACCGCCTTGTATCTACAAAATCATGTTGCACTAATGAAACATGTACTCCGCACCAATACGACAAAAACATCAAAGTGCATGCAACAAGGACATCAACAACAAGGAATGACATATAATCACGATAGACAAATTATGACTCCTCTTTCTCTTCCAACATATTGATTCTTATTTCGTGGTAACCTAGTGAGAGTTACAACTATTCATAAACAAAAAACCTCGTTCACGTCCGATTTGTATTATTCGTTCCACAATACTCTGGGTATTATCATTATAATTGTTCATCACATGATCGCAACAATATGACCGAAAATTCAACACAACAAAAAAAGACAAAAACAATTTCGTCATTTATTATTATTATTATTATTATCTGTTTATTCTTTTTCATTATTGAAATGGAATCAAAAAAAGAAAACTTTTCTTGAATAAATTATTCATTTCTTTGTTATATGATTAATTTTTGATACTATTGCTGCATTTATATTATTTAGTATTAATTAAAATCCATGTTTTGATTGATAGGATCTCCTAATTCTTTTTGTAGTTTATAAATTTTTTCCGCTAATTTATAAAAATATTCTTCTAGACTATCTGCTATTTCAAACGTTTCATTTTCAATACGTCGAGCATAGTTAGCTAAATTAATAATACGTATATCATGACTAGTACCCGTATTAATTATTGGTATAAGTGCCGTTATGATTTTTTGTACAAGATGTTGACGCATTTCTTGTGTAACACGCCTTTGCCATTCTTTATTAATTGTTATTGGTACATCTGTTGCATTAATATTAATATTATTTATTGTTTGATTTAATACAGCTAAAGTCGATGGTGTTTTAAATGGTTGACAAATTGAACATTGAGAATTATTACATTGTTTCCAATGTAAAATAATCTGACGTGAAGTAACACAATGAGGAATAGTACATGTTTTATGATCATTACATTGTGTCATATGTTGTAAAACATTTTTCATAGTACCACAATGTGGTAATGTACATGTACTTGGATGTATTGTTTCATCATTAATAGTTTGATTTTCACGTTGTTGACATTTATATGCATGTAATAATAAAACAAGTTGTTTTTGAATAAATTGTTTTCGTTGAACATCGGTATGGTGTTGTTCAGAATTGTTCGTTGATGATGAAACAGCCATTTGATTTAATATTAGATCACTACCAATTGTTTGTTGAGGTTGAGTTGTTATCATATCATTTGATGAATTAGTTGAAGTTTGATTCATCATTGAAGTCTAAAAGAAAGAATTTTAGTCTATAAATTTTAATCAAAAGATTATGCTATGTTTGATATATGTTATTCTACGTATAAATTGCTTTATTAAGTTTAAATCAATTAATTTCTTTAGTCTTTCTAATCATTCCTGTGGCATTACATAGAAACAACAGGTATTTACATCAGATATTAGACGAAAGTTGGAATATACCAATAGATAACATAATACAGTTAGAAAAATACATGAATTATTACAGCCAAGCACAAAAGAAAGAAAGAACAAAAAAAAAACAAGAGAATACAAAAAGGAAAATACCCGACAGAACAAACGAGAACGAACATATGGAATATATCTTGTGCACATTATATCTTACAACATGTGTTGCAAACATGCTATAACAAGCATAGAGATTCTTTTGGTGAAAACATCAAATCTGAGTGATGAAACCTGACTGAGATACAAACAAAATAATGACACTGCCATTATATTGTAAAGAAAAAAAAGGAAAGCGTGATGATTCAGCAAATTTTCTTTCCTCATAATTGAATAATATAAGTCTTATTTATCTTTCGTTTTTTCCAAGATAAAAAAATTTGAATCTAATTGATGTTATTTTTGTCGTTCGAAAGTAAAACTCAGCTTCTTATTGTAACTACTTACAGAGTCAACTTAAATGTTTTGCACTATTGCAAGTGAAGCAACCAGAATATGTTTTTCTTGCGTTCTTCTCTCTATTTCAACTACGGCACTGCTTTATTTTTCTTTCATCATGTTTTTGTACATCATGAGTTACTCACATGATCGTCATTCTTTTCTTTACACATCTGTAGAAGGGAGAAGGTAATGTTTCTCGTGTGTTGAAAATTTCCAATATAGGTCTAAGGGAAGTATGACATTTACAGTCGGTTCTGTTTGCTTGCGCAAGACAACAAAGAAAGCAATGCTTCAGTATCAATTACTCAAAAAATATACAAGAAAAATAAACAACCAGCAGCCGAATGTTATGTTATAGCCTATATCTTTTATAGGTTCGGAAGCCAAGGGGAAAAAAGCGGATTCCGGTATCCTCTGTATCCTCACCGTATCCAGGATACGGAGATCCATGAGGGATCTTCGTATCTGGGATACGATGAGATTACAGAGGATACAACGGAGATACGGTGGAAATAGAAATGATACGATGAGGATGTGGTTGATATAATAACAATACTGAGAACATGACCCAAATGAGCAAAAAATAAGTGAAGACTGCCGACATGACTAGTCAGAAATGTCCGTAATACCCATCATGCCTAGTCTAAAACGTCTTACACACTCGCCATGACTAGTCATCTTTAGGAGCAATATCCTTTAATCACGTCTGGACTAGTCCAGAAAGTCCTTGAATCCCGTCATTTCTAGTCCGCTTTGCTCATCTACTGTATCCAGATTAGTCCATAGACCAAAAAAAATAACAAAAAAAAGAAGACGAAAGGTGGATTCGAACATTCGACCCGACAATATTTAACCCATTCAACCCGATTCAGTTTTGTTAGAAAATTTTTTCGAGATGTTCAGTTTCATGAACAGTTAACTTTTAATAAATGCACTTAATGACCTTTTCGTTATCTACTACCAGTTATTTATCGTTCTCTTCTTTATATCGCTACATAATGAGTCATTTTTTTCTGCCGAACTTAATAATCGCTCGGATTACTTTTTCGTTCTTTTCCATATCATACAAAGTATGCATGAGAAAAAAAAGGAAGTTTCCAGCTTTTTCTTCCTCATTCATTTCTCTCTATCGTTTTGTATATAAATACAACCGGAGTTTTGGGATAATTCACATGTCGTTTGAAGAAATAGATACAGAAGATAGCGCTAGCTCACTCGATGAAGTGAGTTCTCTGGATGATAATTTTGATGCAATGTACCTCGAATCTGACGATTCTAATGAAGAAGGTACTGATGATGACATAGATTCACATACTTGGAATGAAATAGAACCAGAATCTGACGCAGAATTCCTGGAGGATCATGGACTCATCGAAGAAGTAACTTCTATTTCAGGCGATAATACAATCAATCCTATCGATTGCTATCGGCATTTCACAACGGACGAAATTATTAACCTCATAGTTCGTGAAACTAATCGATACGCGCAGCAATACTTGCAAAACCATGAGATTAGTAGACGGTCAATACTTCATCAATGGAAACCAACCACTAATGAAGAGATGCTGAAGTTCTTTGGAATCGTTATCGAAATGTGGTTGGTACAAATGCCAAAACTGAAGTACTACTGGAGCAGTAGTCAGTTGTATGGTTCAGACATCCTTCGAAATGCTACGTCGAGGGAGAGATTCGAATTACTCCTCAAATTTTGGCATTTTTCGAACAATGATAACAAAAATTCGAATCAAGATAGGCTTTCCAAGTTGAAACCACTCTTGAATTTGTTGAGAGTCAGATTTTCGTCAGTATATATACCTGGTTCGGTTGTGACTATCGACGAAACTATGATATCATGGCAAGGTAGGCTTTTCTTCAAACAATATATTCCTGGAAAAGCGCACAAGTACGACGTAAAAATGTACAAGTTAGCGGCTACCAATGAATACACCTAGAATTTTGTGATCTATACTGGTCAACAAGATCCTATGGCAGGTCTTGGACATGCACAAACAGCTGTGATGAATCTATTGGATGGTCTTGAGGGATGTTATCGAACCGTGGTAGCTGACAACTTCTTTACCAGTATTCTCTTGCAAAATGTTTGTTAGAAGATGATATGTATCTTATTGGAACACTGAGAAGTAATCGCGCGGGATCAGGCAGCAAAGTTGTTCAAAAAAATCTTAGACGTGGCGAAGTTTACGGGCTGCAGAATAAAGACGGCGTAAAACTGATCATGTGGAAAGACAAAAAAAAGATGTCTTGATGGTATCCACAAGACCGTCGCATTCAGCAACTGTGGTGGATACTGGAAATACCAACAGTAAAAATGAACGCATCATGAAGCCACAAGTTGTACTCGATTACAATGAAGGAAGATTAAGTAGTGATTTATCTGATCAGCTATCATCCTATTACACGTGTGTCAGGCGGTCAATAAAGTGGTACCGGAAGGTAGCATTTGAATTGCTTTTCGGGACGGCACTAGTCAATAGCTATTTGATATACAAAGAAAACTACGCCGCAAGCAAAGTAACCATTCTGCACTTTCGTGAATGTCTTGTTTGATCTTTACTACTTGGTATGTCGTTCGAGAAGCTGAAGCCGGGAGTGAAAGAGAAACCAGCTGCCCAAGCAAAACGTAAGCTTGCTGATCATAAGCTCGAAGAAAAAGAAGTTTCTGCCCGCGATGTTCGAAGACGCTATGCTGGCTGCTATGAGGAAATTAGGCAACAACAATCAAGAGAAGCAAGCCTGGCAACAGCAAAAAAAATAAAAGCCTTTTGTTCTGTTTGTGACAAGTTTTTTTGTCTTGATTGTTTTAACGAGAAACATTTCGCTACAAATTAAATGATCCAAAAATAGCTATGGCAAAGCAGAAAGCACGTATTGTGTAAGGTACAGCCTAAGAACAAGGAGAGAAAGTGCTTTTCTGTTTGGTATCTTGAAAATACACAGTGAGACCCACCGGTGGGTCTCATCGGGTCGAATGGGTTAAGTCTTTTGTCTAGTTTGAGGTGGTAAACGTAAAAATCCATATTCAAGTGAATATTCAAGAATATGTTGCTCTTCATTTAAGAATTGTTTAATCCAATGAAAATGAAATAAATAATTAAATATTAAACCAAATAAAGATTGATCATTGGGCAATTCTGATAAAGAATTTTCATCAATGAGTTCAGCTTTTTCTATCGTTTCATTTTTATTTATTGATTGACTTGAATAATCAATTGATGATAATAAGGAAGAATTAATAGTCATATTTGGGTAAAATTCTTCTAATAGGTCGCTTTTTGATGGTTCAATCGTTATCTCAGCTACGGGAAAAATCTTTCATAACAAAGAAAAGAAAAATCTCGTTGACAACAGAACATTTTTTTTAATGTTTGTCTTAGAGGTCATCTATACAGGACTTTCAGTAAAAGGAGGGGTTAGCAGAAAATGGACATTTACAAACAAGGAATGCAATAGGTGGAAGAGAAAATTTAATTGATACAGCGGTTAAAACAGCTGAAAGGGTGTGGGTGTGGATGAATGTGGGTGGGTGTGCTGGTGTGGTGTGGGTGTGGGTGCGTGGGTGTGGGTGTGGATGTGGCTGGGGCGTGTGGGTGTGGGTGGGTGTGGGTGTGGGTGGGTGTGGGTGTGGGATGGATCTGTTGTTCTTATGTAGGGATGTGCAGTTTCGGTGAAAACAATGAATTACTGACAGTTATACCACTGCACTGAGCGCACTGACTGCAGTGACACACTGACACTGGTGTTCAGTGAATCAGTACATACACTGACACTGGCGTTCAGTGAATCAGTACATACACTGACACTGACTGCTTCGGTTGCAGTGTCTGCACCGACATGGTGTTCACTGAATCAGTGCATACACTGACACTGATTGCACTGGTTCCACTGTCTGCACCGACATTGGTGTTCACTGAGCCAGTACATACACTGACACTGACTGCACCGGTGTCAGGGTTCACCGGAACAGCGCTGCTTACTGAAGTATCAAGTCGCTGACTCTATCAAAGTATGCACTGCTCATGACTTTATTTATGACTGTCAATGAAATTAGCGAAATGGCCATACCTATTCCTCCAGAAAATAGGATTCATTTAAGTAATCTATAATTTTGAATAATAAAGTCGATTTCAACGAAATACGACTCTTATAGTCCTAATATTGACACATAACTACGGGATTTTATTACTCAACCAGATTCATTTAAAGAAGATGAGAGTTTCTCAAAATTGATGTGGACTTTGTAAAACCATTTGTATCGTTACGATTACATAAATTTTTGGCTTTATTTACTCTTTTTTTATGCAATGGTGAAAAAAGGGTATGTATGTGAAAGTGTATGTAGCTTATCTCCACCAAGAAACCAAACTATTGAGCAGATATGCTTCCATTCAATGAAATTTTTTTGTTCATCCGCATATTACAGGTAGAAGATGCCGTCGTCTTCTGTGTATAAATTCTAGTCAATGGAAATCAGTATCAGTACGTCAGTGTTCCAATGTGCGTCAGTGCAACAAGTGCAGTCAGTTTCAGTGTATGTACTGGCTCAGTGAACACCAATGTCGGTGCAGACAGTGGAACCAGTGCAATCAGTGTCAGTGTATGCACTGATTCAGTGAACACCATGTCGGTGCAGACACTGCAACCGAAGCAGTCAGTGTCAGTGTATGTACTGATTCACTGAACGCCAGTGTCAGTGTATGTACTGATTCACTGAACGCCAGTGTCAATGTATGTACTGATTCACTGAACACCAGTGTCAGTGTATGTACTGATTCACTGAACACCAGTGTCAGTGTCATCAGTGTACCGGTGAACGCCAGTGTGACTTTATCGGTGATCAGTATACTGAAACTGCACATCCCTATTCTTATGTAGATTCACACCGACACCCACACCCTCAAGAACAATAACATTCAATCTGATGTAGAGAATATAGCGCCTTAGTGAATTTGTTTATCAATCTACTTAAAAACATTTTTTCTTATGTTTCGATTCATTGTGAATGTGTAAATATTGACTTTCAGAAGATTTGGCTCTTGGTGGATTTGATCTGAATATGGAATGTGTTTAAGGATGTATTTTTACGCTCTTCTTTTTGCTTCCTAGGACGGATTCTATTATATAGACAAAATTATTAAGGTAGCAGAAGTTAGAAGTAAAGATGTGTACGGAAGCATTAATAGCTATTTTTCATCTTGCAAAACTGCATATATGACGTAATTGCATAGAGAAGCAATCTGTCTATGCCAGTAGTTTCAATAAATTGAAATGCTCAGATGGTGTGCATGTGGGGATGTGTATGTGGATGAATAAAAGGCAAACACTCACTAAACACCCACATCTACGCTAAAAGCGAATAAAATCAGAAAGAAACCAAAAGTAAAAATAAAACCAATAAGATGAACATAAAATGAAAAATTAGTAATACTGATTTCCCTATAATATAAATCTTCTTTCTTCAAAAAAGCCGTATGATTTCTTTTTGTATAGAATATCTGTGTTCACTATGAAAATAGACATGTTACTCTAAATCTAAAAAACGTTTTTCTCCCTCCATTTGTACTCTTACTTTTTCTTTCATACCCAAAAATCTTTTTTACTATTTTGCTTTGTGCGCTTCCCTAGTGAAGGTACTCATAGGCGAGTACTCAAAAAGTACTCACGCTAGAAAATGTCACGAGTACTCATGAGTACTCACTCATTTTGAGTACTCATCAGTAGTACTCCTGCTAGAATCTGAGTATCTGAGTACGACAGTCGAGTACTCGCTGTGTAATATTGAGTGTTTTGTGAGTACTACTATCTTGTATCTGTGTGCTCTGCTGACCTATGTAAGATGCTTATAAGCATATTTTTGGTTAGTACCGTTGTACTACATTAATTTTTATTTAATATTAAAATACTACCAACAAACAGAGGACATAATGAAAGGTTGAGAAAAATGATCAACATGAGAACGACAAATTTGATATCAGTTTCATATATTTTAACGTAAAGATTACAGACATGGAAATCTTTATTAGGAGCGAAGAAATTTAAATATTTTCTGTATTTACATACCATAAAAATACAATTTTATTTATTCTTTTCATTTTTCTTTCGAAAAATAAATAAAAACGTACTTTCATTATATAAAATAAAGAAAAAAGAAATATTTAATTATCTTCTCTAACAATAAAAGTTTCTTTGTCTATATCCTAGAGAATGAGAGTACAATAAGACATAAATTAAGGACAGTAAAGTACACTGAAGCAGAAAAATAATAAATTAATCAACGACGATGAGAAACGTGACAATAAATGAACGTACAGTATTGCTTATTACACTAGAAAACTAAACAGACATTTTTAAATCCATCGCTATTTACAATCATCAGGAAATTTACAAAAAAATAAATACAAAATAAAATTATTTGTCTATAGTTTATTAACACATCTTCTTATTTTAAAATCGCGATCGATTTGTCACACAATTTGCGAACTGCCTTGTGTTCCATGATATTCTACAATCAATCTAAAAAAATTGCATTTTAATGAAAGAATTTTGGCCTAAGCTTAGGAAATAAAATAAAAACGAATCTACATTAATATATTTAGAAAAAACTTAATCTTTCCGAAGAATTGAACAAATGAAAATGAAAAATCATTATTCTTTTCTATCTTAAAGTCACCATTTGTTTTATCCGTACAAATGATTCATCCAAAAAAAAATAGAGTATAAAATAAATAATTTATTCAATTGATTTTCTCTGTTTTTCATTTTATTACATTAGTTTTTTTTATTATATAGCTCCAATTTATTTTTGTATATGCTAATGCATAAGTGTTTTGCTAAATATTCTGCGAAACAACTAGCATGAGTACGACTTTGAGTACTCATCTGTCTGCCTATGAGTAAATTTTTAAAAATACACTCGTACGAGTACTCATTAGAGTACACGGAGAGTAAAAATATACATAAAATTCCTCGAGTACTGGCGTGAGTAATATGAGTACTCACGCTGGAAAGTCGTACTCGCTTGATGAGTATTTTCACTAGGGTTATTTAACTTATCATCTTCTTTTCTTCTCTCCGCCTGTCTTCTGCGAAACTTATACTATGATCCGTACATCGATGAACATTTCCACAATTATTTTCTCTTGATTTTGTATCTCAAAATATTTTCCTGGCGACGATATATCAATTTATATAATTTGATTATGAAAAATTTCTCAATTATCCTTTGATGTGTTCAAAAAAATTTACATTCTCGATTTCTTGAAAACAAATATCTGTCTACAATGATATCTTTCGAAGGCAACCATCAGTATTCAAATCATTAATCACCATAAATGGTTATACTTATCAGCAAAATATCATTCGAACAAACAGTGCACTAACTAATACAAATAATTTTTAACTGCGAATTGAGCCATGGTAAATATTTTTAATTATCACTAAAAACCATTCGCAGTCAAATATTACTATTATCATACAAATTAATTTCCCGTAATATTTATAACTCAGTGTATAGATTATTTCTAAAATGACGCCAAACACTAGTGTCTCAATTGATTCTAAAAAATATTTTGAAAGTCATTCTATATATCATTTACAATTTATTTTTGTACAAATTGATCCTTCATAATATTAGAGACAAATTCTGGAAATTGCGCCCCTCTGCATCATATACCGTTGATCTATTTATATTTTAATCGAATCGTTGGATAGAAATCAATTCGACAGGCGACGCATTGATAAAAATTTTACTTATTCCCTTTTCCTCTATTTGATTGTTGTTTCTAATCTTTTGCAACTCCGCTTATTGTTTATTTTTCATCAGAAAACTAAAAAAGTCAAAGAAGAACGAATAGTCATTAAAAAAATTTATGTTGATATGTAAAAAGAATTGAACCACTATTGAAATTAATAATAGAAAAAAAAGTGAACTGGTGTGGATGTCAATATTGCCCTCTTTACGGCCACTCGTACAAACAGCTATATACTAATTAATCCGTTCTTATAAACTGAACTTCATGATTAACATTATTACTGAGGACGAAATGTCAACATTATTGCGTAAAGAATAATTTTTCAACGATCCCCTAGCATGTATTCTTTCTAAGTATATTCGTCATATCCATTTATATTAATTAATAGTTATTACTTTTCACTGATGCTTACTCATTGCTTTTCATGTATCAATATGTGTTATTTTTCATTTACGAATATTCATTATTTTTCATTTATGAATGACAATTATTTTTCAATTAGGAATATACTTTTCATTGATTAATATTTATTGATATTTCACATGTGTCGTATAAATAATCTCTTTATCAAGTAGATGCAAATAATGCATTAAAGATGCATCGAACCAAAAAAAACTTGCTTTTGAGAGTAGTAATAAATATGAGGCTTGATAAACTAAAGTTTCAGAGCACGCTTATTCAATATAAAAATCCTTATAACTCTGATTTGTTCAAATATTCGATCATGTTTTAATACGTTGTTTTGAAACTTCATATGATATGTCATAAAAGGTCATAACAGTCAGATATTGTGAGTTTCATATTTCAACACCAAAGAGGCTGCACTGAAAAGTTTTATCGATGAGACAGAGTGCATAATATGCCATACATACCATATCTATATGCTCATCTTTTTTTTCCTCTTCTCTTCTTTTCCTGTGATTCTTTGATTCTAATAGAATAAGCAAGATTATCTTCCAATTATGTAATCGAAATCATGATTTTCTCCTAAAAACAGTATACTAAAAGCATAGTAGAACACGAGTGGCTCTCTTCAAACTAGTGACGCAAAAGGTAGACTAATAGGCAATTATGGACATGAGAAAGAGAGTGAAGAAAGAGAAGAGAAAAATAAAAACAAAATACACACAAAGTAGCATAATTACCTCATGTTATCATCACGTGTTGTAAGAAATAATTATCAAACTTTCTTCATTATGGTATGAAGAATAATCATACATCATAGAAACACAATATTGCTTTCTCTATAATTGCATGGAAAGAGAAAGTTTTCTTCTACTCTCTATATGAAATTAAAGAGAGTTCGATATTATGTTTCAGTAGTTCAAAGTATCTTTTAACTTTTCATATTTTTTTCAACTTTTTCCGTTACGCCATTTTCTGCTTGTTTTCTTTTTCCATTTTGTCTGATCTTTTTTGTTTTCACGCCCTTCTCTTTCTTTTTCACTTCAACATTTTTTAAAAATATTTCTACGTATGATTAATAATTTTGGCTTTGATGAATTTCTGTCTTCAACATAATTTGCTTTCTTCTTCTCTACACCTACCAAGTAAAAGTTCACAAAATTTTTTTTGAACACACTAAGGTAAGAGCACCCTGACAGAGCACTGAATTATAACGGAGCATAAGTACATTATCAGCTACAAACAGTAACCGTTAGTAATTATTTGTACACATATATATATACACACAGTGGCAACATGTCCAGTGAATATAAACTCAATACAATGGAAGAACTTGATCAATCCGCGGATTCTAATATGAAGATTATTAGAAGCGAGCAATACAAAAAGAATAACGACACAAACGAATCGAATTTGTTTGAAATTGATAATTGTGTTAAAGACGATCAGGTATGTATTCATCTTCTGTTTAACGATGAGAGTTTTGTTTCATTTTGGAGTGACAATTTTAATTGTACGTAAATTAAATAAATAGTAACTTAAAATGGAAATAAATTCTAATTTCAATATTTAAATCAATACAAGTTTTCGTTATTTTAATTGATGTTAAACTTGAATTCTTTCTACTTCATCAGTGATTAAGTTAATTAACACATCAGATTATTCTGCTTTTTTGGAGTTAAATTAGGATATATTTCATAGTAAGTCCATCCCTTCAATCGTTCTTTATCTGTAGAAAAATCTTACTCCGTAGTAAAACCAGTTTTTCGAGACCCTATTCTAGTTGGTTCCAGCATGGCTTAAAACAATTCAATCGAACCTGACTCTACGCCAAAATTTTTTTTCTTGATCCAAATCGAATACGATTCGGCTCGACCCGAACAGAGGTCGAAGATATCTTTTTACAAATAACAAGAATTTTTCTGCACAGATTAATAATCTTTTCTGTGTATCTATACGAACTCTCAATATTTGATATAAGAGAACCATTATCTCATCTGACATGACCGATTATCTTGTGAAAAGTTTGAAATCGACCAACTGTTAGTGCCGAACCTGATCATGCAGTGATCTGATCCTAAACAGCTGCGAGTCCATGTATTTTTAGACCCAAACCACATTGGGTCTGAATCCAATTGTTTATTCGACAACATATGGCACCCTCTGCTTACTTGAATAGACAAAGTTACAAGGCTTTGGCTCTTCATTAACCATTTTAAAAATAAAGTGAATGTACAGTTATTTCTTGTTCATTTGTGCACTATTAAATGGTAGAGAGCTGCGGATCCATGTTTTCTTGGTTTCGAGCTCGGATCTGGAAAGATCCGCAGGTCTTTACCAGACCCTTGCTTTTTTCGATCTCATCGTACATCACAGGTATTACTAATCTTAAAGTAAGTCTACTGAGCGGCTACTCAGGAACGAAAAAGGTTATTATAAACAGATAGAAGCGAGCTGTCGATGAAGTTCAAATATCAGCTTACATTTTTGTCATTCTATCAAACTTTGTTAATTTAACCTCATCATCTTAACAGTAAAGTATATGTTTTCTGAACTGCTCTTTAGTCGAATAGTGCTACAATATCAATACGTATTTTCATAATACCCAAGCTGAGCCATATGCATTTATCTTGATTATTATTTGTTGATAGTTTTTTACCACCGAACATCGTTTTTGTGTACCCCCCCATAATAGAAGCCTCCTCTGAGATGAGCAACATGTTTGACGGATTAGAAGCCTCCTGATTTTTCCAAAAAAATTTTAAAATTTTCGAGATCTTTTTTCGAATTTTCGTCCTAAAACTGCTAAAATTTTTCGATTTTAAGGTAAAAATTGGCTGACTCCTATCCAGCTGTGCTAACATTTGGAAATACCGTCAAAAATCTTCTGGAAAACTCATAAAAACCTTTCAAACCGTTTTTGCTGTCACAATCTATAGAATTTTTTTGGAACTTAATAGAAGCTCCCTCCGAAAACTTCAGACGGTTGACATATTAGAAGCCCTGGGGGACTTCTAATATGGGGAGGGAGGGTTATAGTATCTGAGAAGAAGTATGAAGATCTTGTGTTTGCTTTCTTTGCATTTAAGTACTATCAGCGACGTAAGGCTAAGAAACGACATCAACACAGAAAAAAAAAACGAAGAATAACGAAAAAAACTTATGTTCACTCTGCTCGAGCAGTTAGCTTTCAAGCCGAGAACGATTTATTAAACAAGTCTGACGATCAAAATACACGGTCAAATGAGGAAGGTGCCACTTATGATTCAAATACGATGATAGCAGAAAAAAATACCAACATAACTACAATTGAGGAGGATGAAAGAAACAATCGTCTGATTACAGCTGGTGGTGTAACTGGCATCCATGATACTCTTGAGCCTGTGATAGGATACGCTGAAGAACCTTTGTTACCACTTCATGAAGCATGCGTACCATTGTCCGATATTCTATACAACCTATCATTCTACGTGGAATTAGCACTCAGTGAAACACTGCAGGAGCCATCGGATGGATTAACAGTCGACGAGAGTGCTGCGATTCGTCTTTATACTATTGAATGGGAAAAACCACATCGAAGTCTCTATTCAATGCTTAATTATACTCTTAAAACTGCCTCACGTGAAGAACTTCGACCTTATTTCAAGTATATGAAGTTATTCTTGACTGCTCTTGTTAAGTTACCCTGTATTCCACCATTAACAGTTTGGCGAGGTGTAGCCAAAGACTTAAGTTCTGAGTTTCCACCAGGCACTCTTGTAACATGGTGGGCATTTTCTTCGTGTACTCATGCACTGTCTGTATTGGAAAATGATATGTATCTAGGTTCTGAAGGTGATAGAACTCTTTTCTCAGTCGAAGCAATCAATGGTCGAACGGTGCAAGCTCACTCACACTTCGTTACGGAAGATGAAATTCTTCTTTTGCCTGGCACTTGCATGGAAGTTCAATCACAGTTTAGTCCTGCAGTTGGTCTTCATATTATTCATTTGAAACAAATAAAACCAACCGAAACTCTTCTAGAGCCCCCATTTGAAGGTAAATTGGAGAGAGCAAGAAAATTATGAACAAATGTTTTGATTCTTTTATTTTAGGAGCTCTCCTCTATCCACCTGAGAACAAGAAAACACCTTGGTACAAAAAGAAACGAACCATACTTGAAATAACTGTAATTGTTATAATCTGCATTGCTGGCATGATTGTTGGTGCAGTACTTGGTTCGAGACGACCATCACCACCTTCCTGTACGTTACATTAGTTTTCGTTTTTTGTTTCTATCTCGAACTAGCAGAAATTTCAGAAATTAATGCATCACGAGAAACAAAAAATTGATTAAAATAACACTTCATTTCGAGTTTGCCAGGTATTTTTTATGAGCAACTCATTAGGAGTATGTAAAGTTCCAAGGGCAGATTTTAAAGAATACATCCTATTCCTCGATGTTGAACATTTCAAAAGCAGTTCCACCCCACGAAATAAACTTCATCAAATCTCGAATTCTAACAATTCAGTGCTCTCGCAATTTCTAGCAACTCCAACCCCTATCGGAATCGCAACTTCGTAGGTTTACGCAACTAGGTAGAATTGGGCAGAGGTCCTGAGAATTTCTTGAAATTCTGTCACATTCCGTTCGATTTCGTCTGAACTCAACTCCCTAATTCCGTACCGGAGTCGGGTAGAATGAAGAGGATTGACAGATATAAGTTGATTTCAAGTATTATAATTCAGTAATTCAGCAGAGTTTCTTTCTATTCTGGAATTATAATATCTAATATGAATTCGCATCTATTATTCTCTTCATTCACCCACACCTATGGGATCATTGAATTATATTAAAAACTGATATTCCGAAATATGACGAAATTTTGGATACGACCCACTCCGAAATTTCCAAAATGGCTGGAATTGAATTTCGAGTCAAAGGAATTGAGGTTTGATGCAATATCGAAACCGATGAAATGGATTCTTGGGGCAGAACTGGCTCCGCAATGTTTAACATTGCGGAATGGGGTGTCTGCTCAGATATGACTCGATCATTGACCAATATTTCTGATTTCTCTTCGAAACTGATAACAAATCTGGAAGCATTTAAAATACCAGTCCACTTGATTCGATTATTCGACTTAACGAAATATTATTCATTGTCGATAAATATTGTCTAATCCACAGCCTATATTATTTTATTAATTTAATTTTGTAGTTTTTATTACAAATCAAATTCATTGTATTTATCCCATGGAACTAGTAGTTATCGACAATCAATTCGAAATAGGCTGATTCTTACTTTCATTTCATTATCAGAAACATTTTTTTCATGATTTTCTTGAAACTGATCTAGTAATTCATTACTTTTTTGAATTTCTAAGTCTAAAAGGTATTTGTTAGTTCACTATTCATTCTTGCAAATAAAAGCTTACTATAAACAATTCTTTTGAATTTGCTTTTGAGTTCTAGGTAATGCTACATACGTAGAAAAAATAGACACTATGATCAAAAACTTTTATCATCCAAGCGGCAGTGGAAAATCTTTGATGTTCACACAAATCTAGCAAAACTTTCTCTCGGAAAACAGTTTTCACACAAGAGAAATATCTTTTGTCTATCAAAAAATTCTTCTGAGTGGATTTTTGAGAAAAATGAGAACTTTTATCATCGAACGAGAAGTGTATTCGTACTTTTTTTCTGTCTTTTGATAATAATTCTTTTTGTACGTACCCAGTATGTTGGCCTCGGAGACCGAACTTACTAATGGATTATTTTTGGTCATTTGATTGTGGTGATACTCGAGAGGATTTAACTGGTTTATACAATGGTACATTTGTAAATGGTTCTGAAAGCGTTTCACCTGACTTTTCTGGACAAGGCAAGGCGTTGTATTTAGATAGAAAACAGTATCAATATATTATTCTACCTCGTTCATTGAATCTAACACTCAATACAAGCTTCACAGTGTCTGCTTGGTTATTAGTAGCCGGTTATCTGAGAAAAACTATTTTAAGTGATTGTAATAACTTTAATTCAATATGTATCAGCTTTAGTATCACTGATTCAAGCATTAATATTCAACTTCATAGTTGGGATAATGCAGCTTTACTACAGGAAGTCTCCGTTTCTGTCGTAGACTATATTTGTCAATCTTGTTGGATGCATGTAACGTACTCATTTGATCATCATACTAGATTAACTATTTTCTATTTCAATGGTATAGAAATCGATAGAAGACATTTAAATTTGAATTATGAAAACTCATCACGAATGAATCAAACCAAGGTGTCCTATATAGGACTAAATGCAGTTACAAAGGTGCGGCCATTCTATGGTCTGATTGATAGTTTATGTGTTTTATATGCAGTGAAAAACGCTAGTGTCATTCGTTATGAAGCGACCGTATTATGTCAGTACAGGTTTAACAGCGACGATATCAATGTTGGATGGGGTCCAAATAATATTCAAGCACGTAGTCAACATGTCTATCGATCATGGTGGAACAACCAGAGTGGTCTTCTTTTCAATGACAGTGACTCTTATTTTCAATCGAGTGGATTCACTCTGTTGCACTCAAATGCCTATGAATATTCGATAGCTTTCTGGCTTCGTTTAAAAATACAGAAGTCGGAGAAACTTAATAGTGCTATAGCTGTGTTACAGCTAACATCTTCGATTACAGCACTATCAGCAGACAGTTATACATGTGTCATGAGTATACATGTTTACTCGAATAATCAAACTTTGGGATATTTTTTTCCGAGTATTTTCCAAATACTCAATATTAGTGGTTCATTCATTGGAAATAACACTTGGGTTCATATTGGTGTAGCATACCAAAGTCCCGATACATATTTATTATATCAAAATGGTGAGATGATTGCTAACTACACGCATCGCCGTTTCTCATTGCTTATAGCTGATGATCCACGATTTTCGATAACAATCGGAGGCGCATACTTGGATGATTCTGATTCGAACTTACCTGATAATTTCGAACAAATGAAATGTTTTGCTAGAATTCCAACTTTTAATTATACGAAGATGTATGGAGAAATAGATGATTTAACATTTTATTCAAGAGTGTTAAATGCATCGGAATTTTCAATGTTGGCCGAGGCTTATATTGCATAGATCTCGTATCAATAATTTTGACAATTTACTTGAACATAAAGTTTATTAGTAGCTAGAGTATTCTCTATCTACGCTATTATCTCGAACAAATTGTTAGAGTTCATGCAATAATTATTCGCTTTGCTATGTTAGCGTCAACAGATATTACATCGTTGCCGCTAACCTTGTTTCGTTCTTTCCTTCTTCCTTTTTCCTTACGTGACCTATGTGGGATTCGATGTTTCCCCAACATATGTATGTATATACATATATTTCTTTTTTTCTTTTCTCCTTTTCTCTTTTTTCTCTCTCTCTCTTTGGTTCAACTTTATGAACAAGTTTTTCTCCAGTTCAGTTGTTCAGTAGTTTAGTGGCTAAGTGGTTATATGTTGTTAAGTTGTTATTTTTTCATTATCATGGTCACTTGTATTACATTATTAAATATATATATTCATCGTCCGGATTTATATCATCTTGTCAGTCATATCAATTAACAAGTCAAAGTAGGATTACTAACACCACTAACCTAGCTAATACAGATCAAGATTCTTTTGATTCCTTCCAGTCTATTAGCTTTTAGTAGGTAGGAGATTTTTGGATGAAAGAGAATCTAACAACACCCACCCACACCCACACCCCGCACACCCCACACCCCACACCCACACCCACACCCACACCCATACCCACACCCACCCCCACCCACCCACACC